TTCTTGAGTCCAAAATGTATAGCGCTGAACAGAGTTACAAGTCTTCTTCGATCAACATGAGTTCCAAGCCTGGCGCTCATCAGCGCCAGCTGCCAAACATCAACAACAGCGCTCAACAGGTAAGTGTCACCATAGCTCACACTTCCCCCTCTCTCGTCTGCCTTCTTCTCTCTCTCCCTCTATGTCTATAGTCCTGGTCTACCCTCACTCGCCATGCACAGTCCCTACTGGTGTCTCCTACTGACTATCCCTACTAACATACTACCTAGTACTGGCGCAGCTATGGCTGCCCTTCTTCCAGCCAGTGCTCTTCTTCCTTTCTTCACACCTAGCGCTGCTCACAGCCTAGCGCAGCTCACGCGTATCTAGTGCACAAGTGCCACGGCACTTCCACACTCTCATGCGAAGTGAGCATCTGTCCGAATGGGAGGCTGGCCAGTCCTTTATAGTGCTGGACTGGTCTGGCGTGCCCTGCGTTCAGCCCCAAGTGTGCCCGGGACTCCTGCCCAGTACCAATTGTTGCAAAGTGTGTGTCTCCAAGTATCTTTTCCCATGGTCTGCTGCGCTTTGGGGCCATCGGGCCTGTCTCTTTGGTACTCCTGCTCTGAATCAGGACTGACTCATCATGATGGGATTATGACTGGACTGGGACTGTGGCCTTTGACTCATTGCCGAACAGACGTGAATTTCCATCGAGGAGAGATGACCCTTTCTCAGTCTTAAACACTGTGTCCAATACCTGTTCGTTCAGGACCTGTTTGTGACTATTCAAAATGACCTTTCATTTCATTATGGATGTGACATTTGCCTCAGGAACTTTGTCTTTAGGGTTGCTGCTCGTGAATTTAAGTTCTGGCCGACAGGGCCCCTCGCTGTTGGGGTACTCGTCTGTAAAGGCCCTTTTAAATCAATCAATCAATCAATTAATCAATTAATCTTTCTTTTCTTTCCCAACCTATGGACCCCGCAAATATATATATATATATATATATATCGTCAAATAGAACTGCCGACGGTAAACCGTAGGCAGAGAGGGAGAAGAGGACAACAAACGAGGGGCTGTGACAAACTGTTTCGTCGGAGTTTCACCGACTCATATATATA